GACGCTCTTCCGATCTTTGGAGCAGGTTTGCTGCAGGGTTTGGAGCAGGTTTGGAGCAGGGTTTGGAGCGGGTTTGGAGCAGGTTTGGAGCAGGGTTTGGAGCAGGGTTTGGAGCAGGGTTTGGAGCAGGTTTGGAGCAGGTTTGGAGCAGGGTTTGGAGCAGGTTTGGAGCAGGGTTTGGAGCAGGTTTGGAGCAGGGTTTGGAGCAGGGTTTGGAGCAGGTTTGGAGCAGGTTTGGAGCAGGGTTTGGAGCAGGGTTTGGAGCAGGTTTGGAGCAGGGTTTGGAGCAGGTTTGGAGCAGGGTTTGGAGCAGGTTTGGAGCAGGGTTTGGAGCAGGTTTGGAGCAGGGTTTGGAGCAGGGTTTGGAGCAGGGTTTGGAGCAGGTTTGGAGCAGGATCTGGTGCCCTTTGGTGCTGCCAGGCAGCCCCTTCTGCTCTGCTGGCTCTGGACACGCTGGGGACACGCGAGGGAACCTCTGAGGATCAGAGCTGGTTGGGTTTATCAGTTTCTAGAGGTTCCCTTGGAAACCGTCTCTCCAGTCAGTGTGGGCTCTGTGGAAAGCCTGAGAACAAACTGGGTGACAATTTCATGGCCTCGTGCACAGGCACTTAGCTTTTAAAGCCCTGTTAGTAGAAAATACCAGTTGTGTTGGAATAAATGCTGCAGGGCAGTGTTATTTCAGGTAACACTTAATTCCTGTGACTCCTCAGGACAGCAGCTCTTCCTTACAGGTAAAGGACATGTTCGTGTTGCCCTGGATTAAAAGCAACATCTGCAAAGTGGGATCCTCTTAGCACAGGGACTGTGAGCAGAATCCACGATGCAAAAAGCTCAGTTCAGAGAGAGCAGATCCACTCTGGGTAATGAAAAGCCCAGGCTGCATTAACAAATTCCTGGGTGGTGCTATGGGGTGATCAGGGAAAGATAAATCACCAGCTTCTGCTTTTATTAAAGCTGCTCCAAGCATTTCCTGTATTTATTTTATTTTTTTCTTTAGTGCATGGATGTTTCATCAGGCCACTCTTAATTAAACGGACAAATTAATTAATAAAAACAATGATGCTTTTACTCAGCATAGTAAAAACTGAATCCCTCTGGATCCTGGAAGCTTTGATTGTTAATAAACAGGAACAATTGTCCTTCCAGCTTCTCCAGACAACGGATTTGATTCTGAGGGCTGGTCAGTGCTGCTGCGCTGACATTAAAACTTCAATCATGGGCTGGCAACTCTGTGAGCTCTGCCAGTAACTGGAAATTTTGCTTCAATAAAGTTCTCAGGCAGAGCCTGTCAACTCTCATCAGTCAGAGCTCAAATGTGTGTGAAATAATATTTAAGTTTGCTAAATGAGAGCCAGAGAGAGGAGGAGGGAGGTTCCCTCGCTGTCTCTGGGGGCTGGTGATGGCTTAAAGGAGGAATTGCTTGGGCTGTGTTCAGAGGAATTTAAATGGTGCCCCCCAAATCTGGTTCTGTTCTGTGGGTGCTTTTTCATTCCATGTGAAGAGAGGAAATACCCTGAATGAAATCATATTTACAGGTATTTCTTAAAGGGTCAGAGGGCTTTGTATCACAGGTGATCCTTTGCCCCTCTGGCACAAAGTCTGGCAGCTCTACACAAGATAAACTTTGGAGTGTGTTGTGAGAAGCTTTAAATTCTATTTTTTCCTGTTTATCTTGTCCTACTCCTGCCCTTGTGGACTCTTTTGAGGACTCCTTTGAGCACTCTTGATCCCAAATGAGACCAAATTCCCTCAGTTCCTGCTGCTCCCGTGGTTTGTTAGTCTGGGTTTGGGGCAGCTCAGGGATTGCTCCTCGATTCCTGGCCTCGGTGCTGGCAGGCAGAAGTCCATTGTGGGATTGCTTTGAACTGGAAATCTGTCCAGGAATCCCCTTGGCCAAACGTAAGGAGAAGGTTTGGAAGTTACAAAACTGTAATTCTGGGGAATAAGCTGGTCTGGGGATGGCTCAGCAGCAGGGGTTTGTGTTTGGGATTAATGAAAACCATTAATAAACATGCTTTTATAATAAAATCAGTTGTCATTTAGCTGTGAGTCCATAAGGGAAAGCAGATGGGAGGACGAGACACAAGGGCTGGGAGTTCCTGGATTTGTCCAATTTTATTTTGTTCCCTTCACTCTGATTTGTGTCCATGTCCTGAGAATTCCTGCAGTGCAGCTCCCACACTCTGTCATGCAGCAATTCCATGGCTGTGGGCTTGGATTGTTACCTCAGGGAGGAGGTGAGAACCATCCCAGCCTTTGCTGTGGTGCATTTTGGATCTGTCCCCACATTAAACCCCCATCCTTGGCCTTGTGCTGAGCTGGGTGAGGGTGGGGAGGATTCCTAGAAATTTCCAGCCTTATCCACCACCAGACTGCAGAGCAGACACTCTGGAGGCACCACACTGAAGGTTTTCAGTCGTTGCTAACATCCATTTTCACCTGCTTTTGTGTTCAGTCTAGTGCAGTTTGTAGAATGCTTCAGTCAGATTTTTACTCCAAGGTTCTCAAAACACTTTAAGCATTGCTGAACAATGCCCTGGGCTCACTCATCACCCCAAAATCTCTGTCCCATGGCATGGATGAGGTGGGTTCTGCTCCAGCATCCCAAGGCTGGGTTTGTGGAGTGCCCCAGGAGAGGTGTTGGTGACCAAGGTGTGAAGCAGGACAGGAGCAGTGAAGAATGACAGGAGTGGAGAAAACCTGTGAAAACAGTGCAAAATTCCAGGAGCAGTTCCTGTGGCCAGGCAGGAGGTGGGAAAAGCCCAGGATTTGTTGCTCTCAGGCAGTCCCAGGTGTCCTGCAGCTCTGAGAGCCTTCTCCTGGAGCAGGATAGGATCTGCCCCACTCCTGGCTTTCTGCAGGGCAGTGGTGAGTGTGACCTTGTGTGGGTTTTTCAGGGCAGCAGTGGTGAGTGTGACCTTGCTATGGATTTTTCCTGTGAGTGTGACCTTGTGTGGGTTTTTCCTGGTGAGTGTGACCTTGCTGTGGGTTTTTCCTGGTGAGTGTGACCTTGCTGTGGGTTTTTCCTGGTGAGTGTGACCTTGCTGTGGGTTTTTCCTGGTGAGTGTGACCTTGCTGTGGGTTTTTTCCAGGCTGACAGGATTCCAGCTGCCTGCTCCCATCGTCAGTACCGGCCTCGTGCTGTCCCTGTGGCTCGTCAGTGACTACGCCGTGAGTGCCCAAGGCTTCCAGGCCAGCTATGAGGGTGAGTCCAGGAGGAGCTGGAATTACACCTGAATTCAGCTTGGGAGGTGGGAAACTGAGCTGCAGAGTCTGTACCAGGATCTAGGCATCTCTGCCTCGTTGTTGTGTAATTAAATATATTTTTTTTTCAGCATTTAAATTGCTGCTTCCTTCCAGAATGTTTTTTTTTTCGTTAAAAGTGTACTCTGGATGAATTCCCTGGAATGTCTGGGAGGGTGGGTAATGTGAGGTTGACAGTGGGGTTTCCAGGAGCAGTGTGTCCAGGAGATTTGAATTACTGCACTTTTCTTACATTCTCTTCACCCATTTGTTATTTTGCTTTTTCCTTACTCCTGCCTCCCCAAGTCCTGAATTCAGCCCTGGGTTTGCTGCCATAAACGATGCCCTGTGGGGGTGAAGGGCTGTGTGTGAAGGCTGCAAACCCTCAAATACTCTGGGGCAGTGGAACCCTCAGATATCTGGAAAAAGCTGTTTCCTAGTGGAAGTCAGGTCATGATGTTCCATGCTGCTGCTGGGGGAATGACAAATTAACCATGTTAAAATGCAGCTTACACGGCTGTTGATTACTGAACCTAAAATGCTGTTCAGCTCCCCATCATTTGTTATTTTTTTTACTTTTTATTTTTTTTGCTGGAGTCCTTAAAATTATCATTAAGGCTGAGAACTTGTTGGTAATGAGTCCAACCAGCCAATTACCCCGGACATTCAGCCAGGGAAATGCCTTCATTGAGGTGATGGTGGAGCCTCGCAGCATTTCATGCTCTTACCAATTAAATTCTGCTCAAATCCCCTCTAATTTCGGGAGAAATTCTCTAATTCTCTGCTGTGCCTCACAGCACTGCGAGGGTTTTGTGGGTGCTGAAGCGATCAGAGCTCACAGTGGGGACACAGCTTTGTCCCAGGATTGTCCCACTGGTTCCCAGAAGGTCAGAGAGCAGCTCGGGCTGTTCCCAGGGCTTGGATTCACTGGGGAGGCTGTGGGGGCTGGCAGGACAGGTGAGGGTGTTGGGACAGGTGAGGGTGTTGGGACAGGTGAGGATGTCGGGACAGGTGAGGATGTTGGGACAGGTGAGGATGGTGGGACAGGTGAGGATGTCAGGACAGGTGAGGATGTCAGGGCAGGTGAGGACGATGGGACAGGTGAGGATGGTGGGACAGGTGAGGATGTTGGGACAGGTGAGGATGTTGGGACAGGTGGAGGTTTTGGGACAGGTGAGGATGTTGGGACAGGTGAGGATGTTGGGACAGGTGAGGATGGTGGGACAGGTGAGGATGTTGGGACAGGTGAGGATGTCGGGACAGGTGAGGATGGTGGGACGGGTGAGGATGATGGGACAGGTGAGGATGGTGGGACAGGTGAGGATGGTGAGACAGGTGGAAGTTTTGGGACAGGTGAGGATGGTGGGACAGGTGAAGCTTTTGGGACAGGTGAGGATGTCAGGACAGGTGAGGATGTCAGGACAGGTGAGGATGTTGGGACAGGTGAGGATGATGGGACAGGTGAGGATGGTGGGACAGGTGAGGATGTCGGGACAGGTGAGGATGTCAGGACAGGTGAGGATGTTGGGACAGGTGAGGATGTCAGGACAGGTGAGGATGGTGGGACAGGTGAAGCTTTTGGGACAGGTGAGGATGTTGGGACAGGTGAGGATGATGGGACAGGTGAAGCTTTTGGGACAGGTGAGGATGTCAGGACAGGTGAGGATGTCAGGACAGGTGAGGATGGTGGGACAGGTGAGGATGTCGGGACAGGTGAGCTCAGCCTGTTGGGAGGAAAGGCAAATCCATTTGCAAAACTGCTTTTTCCACCCCAAAATTTTCGCAATTTGTTTCAGATTTGCCCATTTGCAACCCCTCTGCTGGAACATCTGTCGGTCTCTGTGTGAGACCACGTCACTCCCAAATCCTGGGACAGAGGACACGCAGCTGCTTTTGCACTTTCTTGACATTTCCAGTTCATTTTTTGGCATTTACACACGGCTCCTTGTACACTTTGTAATGTTTTTTTATTACCTTGATGCCGCAGGAAATCTTGTACAAAGGCTCGAGCCAGGGCTGCCCTTTAGTCACACACATCTGAAATGATCTGGAGTTTATTTGACTGGTGATTAGGAGGCTTTCAAGGCTGTAACCGAGGGGGAAAATAAATGTATTTAAAATTTAACCTGAGCCAGAGTGACAGAGAGCGTTGGCATAAATCAGGGCTTTATTTTGAGGGTGGGAGAGGGGTTTATTGCTGCAAGTGCCACCCTGAGCCTGCCCCAAAGCAAATTATTCGAGTTTTGGGTGTTAACTAAGGCTAAAGGAGGTGATAAATGCAGTTTGGATGCACGCTGGAATGCTGCTTCAGTTCTTGGGAATGTGTGACTCAGGGAAGAGCCCGGTGACACGATAATTCCCGTTTGAAGGCAGAGCAGTGCATGAGTCCCGCAGTAAATGGCTCTGGTGTGATCTGCCATCAAAGCCTGCTCATTATTCTCCTCCTCCCTCGGAGCGATCGGTGGGAAATGCACCAAAAGAAACAGAATTTTAAAATTGGGAACAAACGCTCTCAGGAACTTATTTTTTTTGTTTTAAATAAAGGACAGGAAGAAAGTGGGGTTGGAGGCATGAAAGAGGCACAGAAACAGTTGCAGTGATGTCTGCTCTGCCCCAGCTGCTGGGGATGCATCAGCTGAGGCTGCTGTCAGCAGAGAACATCTTCTGATAAACGGGAGGGCAGGATCAGATCCCTCGGCAGGGATGGCTGGGAGAGGACACAGCCACGTCCTGCCATTCCTGGGATGTGTCCTGGGCATTCCCGGGGTGTGTCCTGCCATTCCCGGGGTGTCCTGCCATTCCCAGGGTGTGTCCTGCCATTCCCAGGGTGTGTCCTGCCATTCCTGGGATGTGTCCTGGGCATTCCCGGGGTGTGTCCTGGGCATTCCCGGGGTGTGTCCTGCCATTCCCGGGATGTCCTGGCATTCCTGGGATGTGTCCTGTCATTCCCAGGGTGTGTCCTGGCATTCCCGGGATGTCCTGGCATTCCCGGGATGTCCTGCCATTCCCAGGGTGTGTCCTGTCATTCCCAGGGTGTGTCCTGCCATTCCCAGGGTGTGTCCTGCCATTCCTGGGATGTGTCCTGCCATTCCCAGGGTGTGTCCTGCCATTCCCAGGGTGTGTCCTGTCATTCCCAGGGTGTGTCCTGCCATTCCCAGGGTGTGTCCTGGGCATTCCCAGGGTGTGTCCTGCCATTCCCAGGGTGTGTCCTGGGCATTCCCACTATCGCAGCACGAATAGCTCAGCTGGAGCGCTGGGCAGGGCTGGAGATCTGTGAAAAGCCATTGTCCCTGTGAGAATCCCGGTGTGAACCTGATTTTCTTGGAGCCTGAGGGAATTGCAAGCTGTCAGTGGCAGATCTGTTCCCAAGAGAAAGTTTCTTGGGAGATCTTGCACTGAAAAAGAACATTTGTAAATCATCTTGCTTTCTCAAAGCAGTTCTGCAGAACTGTAAATAGCGAGTTTTTCTCTTGTCCCACCGATGAGACAAGAGGTGGTGGTGTTCCCTTACCCAGTCATAGTGGGAGACCCTATAAAAGCTGAAAAGTTCAGAGAATAAAGACCCCTTTTCCTGACAACTCGTGGTGTGTGCTGTGAAGCCACACTAACACATCGTGTCCAACAGCGACATCCCCGCTCGGAAAAACCCTCCAGGATCATCCAAGCTGAGCCACCCCCACCTTGTCCCCAGCCCAGAGCACTCAGTGCTACATCCAGCCCTTCCCTGGACACCTCCGGAGCTGGGGACACCAAACCTCCCTGGGCAGCTCCAATGCCACCTTTTCCATGGGGAAATTCCTCCTGATACCCACCCTGAGCCTCCCCTGGCCCAGCCTGAGGCCGTTCCCTCTCCTCCTGCCCCTATTCCCTGGGAGCAGAGCCCGACCCCCCAGCTGTCCCCTCCTGGCAGGAATTGTAGGGACAGCGTGGAGCTCCTGCAGGAGCAGAAGGGCAGAACAAGCTCCAGGATTTGCTCCTGAGCTTCCCTGGAAGAGCTCCAGGAAGAGCAATCAGGAGTTGTTGTGTGGCTAGAAAATCTGGGGATGACCCACCCTGGCTGTCTCCTCCTGCCAGGACAGTAGGGACAATGTGGAGCTCCTGGAGAAGCAAAAGGAGCTTCTGGAAGAGCAGAAGGAGGTCCTGACACTGCAGAGCTGCTGCTCCAGCTGCTGGTGCCAGAGGTTCAGTGGGATTTGAGGAATAACAGCTCCAGCGCTGCTGTTTTTCCTTCTCCACCCTGTGGTTTTGGGACTTCTCTCTGTTCCTGTGCTGGAGGATCTTCCTTAATCCTCTTTCCCTCACTGTGTGACTTCCTCACCTCTCTCCATTTCCCCAGCAGCTCATTCCTGTCTACTCTCACTGCCTGGCTCTCCCTGCTCCCCATCTCCCTCTGTCTGCTGGGATTTCCCTCCAGATCCCAAATCCCAGCGCAGAGCTGGGAAAAGGCAGGGATTTGGTGCTCACAGCTCTGCAGGGTGGGAAAAGACAAAGGCTGGTGCTGCCAGGGCTGCAGAGCTGCGAGGTGAAGGCCCCAGGGGTTCGGTGTCTCTCCCCAGATGTGGCACAGCTGGTTCTGCCCCACCTCACCCTGCAGAGATCGCAGTTTCCAAGTGACCCAAAAAGCTCAGGATATTCCTTGTGGTGGGAATTCTTGTTCCTGGGGGCACACAGAGCTGCTTGAAGATCTGGGAATGGACCCCCCCAAAATCCCCTCTGGGGAGAGGAGAGGAGAGGAGAGGAGAGGGATTTAGATCAGCACAAATCACTGGGTTTAGTGGCAGGTGTGGCAAAAGAGCCCAGGGCAACCATGGTGGGACCACTGGGAGTGAAAATTTGTCAGCTTTTTCTTGGGGAATTAGGAGAACAGAGAGGATTTCATTTTCATTTCAATAAAATGCTTTGATCTCAAGGTAATTTTTTTACTTACGAGCTTCTAGGAAACACCAGCAGTTCAGGGAGCTC